TGGAACGCCGGTACTTGAAGTCCTTCAGAAGCTCTTCAATTCCGTCCTCCATGGTGGCACTACTCCGAAGGCGTGGAGCAGAAGTGCAGGGTCTTGTTCTTCAAGAAAGGCGACAACGCTCTCTTGAAGAACTACAGACCGATTTCCCTTCTGAGCCGCGTCTACGTGCTGTTTTCGAGAGTCATTACGAATCGTCTCGCACGCAGACTCGACGACTTCCAGCCTCCCGAACAAGCCAGTTTCCGAAAAGGATACAGTACCATAGATCACATACATACCCTGCGGCAGATTGTACAGAAGACCGAAGAGTACAATCTGCCACTTTGCCTGGTGTATGTGGACTATGAGAAAGCCTTTGATTCCGTCGAAATTTGGGCGGTGCTACAGTCCCTTCAGCAGTGCCAAGGGCTACGATGGCTATTCGAGTACAGAATCAAAGCTCGAAACCTATCCAACTGCAGAGAGGTGTAAGACAGGGTGACGTTATTTCCCCGAAACTCTTCACCGCTGCATTGGAAGACGTTTTCAAGTTACTGGACTGGAAAGGATACGGTATTAACATCAACGGCGAGTACATCACTCACCATCGATTTGCCGACGATATAGTCCTTATGGCAGAATCGCTGGAGGACCTTAGCACTATGCTCAATGACCTCAATGGTGTCTCCCAACGGATAGGTCTTTAGGTGAACATAGACAAAACAAAGATCATGTTTAATGTCCATGTCTCACCTATGCGGTAGTTGTTGGGAGCACTATGCTCGAAGTTGTTGACGAGTACGTTTACCTGGGACAAATAGTCCGACTAGGTAAGTCCAACTTCGACCGAGAGGTCAATCGACGGATTCATCGGCTGGGCAGCGTTCGGGAAATTACGACACATCTTCTCGTCAGGTATACCTCAATCTCTGAAAACTAAAGTGTACAACCAGTGCGTGTTGCCAGTGATGACTTACGTATCATAGACGTGGTCCTTCACTGCTGGCCGTATGAGGACGCTCAAGGTCACTCAGCGAGCTATGGAGAGGGCTATGCTCGGAGTTTTTCTGCGGGATAGACTCAGAAATGAGGATATCCGCAGTGAAACTAGAGTGACCGACATAGCCCAACGGATTAGTAAGCTGAAGTGGCAATGGGCCGGCCGTATAGCTCGAAGAACCGATAACCGATGGGGAAGAAAGGTTCTCGAGTGGCAGCCTCGTACCAGTAGGCGTAGTGTAGGGCGACCCCCCACTAGATGGAGTGACGACCTGGTAAGACATGCAGAAAGTCGATGGATGCAGGTGGCTCAGGACTTTTTTATTCCTTGGGGGAGGCCAATGTTCAGCAGTGGACTTGTGAAGGGCTGTAATGATGATGATGATCTATGAATCAGGTAAATTAGAAAGCCACTAGCTGTGTTACCCCGATGGAAACCGGATTGGCTGTCACTAATCAGCTGGATAATTGGTGACTGTCACCTTTGCTCAAAGTACCTCACGAGCTAACAGCGAATAATGGATTATTTTTGAGATCAAAGAGGTGATGGCAATAAACCTAAAGTCTGAGCGGTCACCTTTTTAGGTTCGAATGCATTAAAGCTGTCTTCCATGAGTTCGGGCCAAAGACTTGGGAGTGTGGTACCTAGGAGTACCGGAAAAGTTGCGTTAGAACCGATCCTAACTCCGAAGCACACGTTTTCTCCTCTCCATCAGGCCCATCGACTTTTCGGCGTCCAGGGAGAGGAACGCTTTGCGTACTGAGCGGTGTGTAAACTGCACAGCCGGCATGAAGCAATCACAACTCAGGATGGTCAGCGGTGTGTACCCCCTGTTATCGAGAGTCGAGTTGGACGCAAAAAGAGAATCTCGTCGCAAAAATAGAAAGTCGTCCTCCCCGTCCAGAGATGGAAAAAGTCTAACAGAAGATACCAGAAGTTCCCTTTAACAACCTTGACAAAAGGTCATAGTTAAATTAGTGGTTTAGAAGAGAACTTGAGCAATTTAAAATCTTTGAATCACAGATAACGAACAAAACATCAAAAATAATCAAAAATTTTATTTTTACCATTTATTATATTATAGTTTGTGTACCAAAAATAAAGAAAAAAGTAAAAGTAAAATGCTTGCGGCATTTACTCTATTGTTAATTGAGAATATTATACCAAACTTTATTCTGTAAATAAGTGGTCCTTGCAGAGCACAGATTACCACCTTAGGAGGTAATCTGTGTTGCAGAGGCATGTCACCACCCCCCTCAGACTTTGCGCCCTACGCTCTAGCCTAATTAGCATGTGGGTAAATCAGGCCATGTGCGTAGGTGTTTTAAATAAGTTGTCGGTTATATAATGAATTCTAATAGCCAAAATTCGACCAACATAACAAGACCATGACGATGTAAAGCTACTATAATTCATGAAATAATAGTATTATGGCACGTACATTTTAAGTTTTTGTTCCAATAATTATTGATATAATTTTTCGTAAATAGGTACATAAATGAATAGCTCGTTATCTCTTTAAAATGTTTACAAAAGTACAAGTTAAGCATTCATTGGGCAACTCTGAGTGCGCCAGTTAGTCAACTAAAATAATCAAAATGATTTTTTTAAGTACCTAATATGATAAAATCAAAAGATAGAAACATAAGTAGATCATTATAAATGTAGTGATTATATTCTCTTAAGTTGAATGCATAGTGAATCAATTATTTCGTCGTCGCTCTAGTATTCGTTTGTTAATTAATGAGATCATTTCAAAAATTTTATCTAACCAATGGTTATTAGATATTTTTATTTCTAGATTTTCGTAAAGGCAATTTTTTTAAATTAGAATTAAAATGATTTTAATAAAATGCTGATCAAATGTTGGGTAAACAAATCTATATTTGACCCACGCAGTGACAAACTTGGAAACAAAAATCTTGTGCTCGTGAAATTGTGCCATGGGACCGATTTGACTCAATATGAATAAAACTCGAGTACGTTTTTGGCAGAATATCAAATCAAAGCGCAGCTGCGACGCTCACTTCTTGGGTAGATATGCAGGCAAGGACGTGTATTTTAGTGGCTAATCTTATTTTAGCATTGTCCAATACGTAGTGCTGCCTTTAATAATATTTTTAACGGCATCTTTATTCTGTTTACTACTTAGTAATGTCCGTCATATTTTTCCGTGGTAGATAATGGCATTTAAGTTACAAACTTCTTTCTTTATCAGCCCAAAAATCCTTTACTCGATAGAGGCGTCTATCGTTTTAGGTAGATTTGTCTGAATTGCCACTCTTGGCAGACGGATAAACGATCACAGTATCAGACCTTTCAATCTTTTGAGACAGCTCCCCGTTGCCAGTCTAGCCTAGACTAGATGGATCCACGGTGGTCGAAAGTTTTATTCAAAATAAACTGTAACACTATTAACTAATACTCCCGTTAACGTCTACAAGTAAGCTCATAATGTTTGCGTTAAGAATGGTTCACCAAAGGAGTGAAGGAAAACCCACGAATTTCTAGTTAAGTCTAAGTTAGGCTACTGCCACTTTAAGATCTGGAGTTATAAGATCTTTGAGACCATTTCTATAGTAGCCTCTTAACATAAAATAACCACAAGATCAAATGGGAGTGATGAATTCTTTTACTCCGCCTTCACACGGCGCCTTAACTTTATAATTTATAAAACTTATACAACATAACTTATAAACTTCATAACAATGACCAAAATAAACAAAGTAAAAGTTAGGAAAGATTGAATAAAACCATTTATACGGATTTTACCGCGTTTAATTAACCTATTTTTAATTCCCGACGTTACGGGTGCTTGCACCCATGGTCACGGAAAGTGGCCTAGATGTTTGACGTCCCAATGTCATAGTTAGCCCGGTTTAGGTTAGTTCAGTTTTTCAAATTCAATTCCTTTATTCCATAACTTAACCTATTACGTCAAATCGTGGTTGGAGCTTCCTTTTCAGCAAAGGATTCGATTGTACTAGGAAGCACCGCTCTTCCAAACAATGGGTACATACTCGTATATAACATTAAGTTGAGATGAAAACTAATAGAATGTTTTAGTCTAAACTATAAAAGTATAAAATAGTACACGCAGATTGTTATATTATTGTACGAATTTAGAATTGTTTAGAATTTAGTTTTGGAATATTAATGTATTTATATTATGTATTATAATAATTAAACGCGATAAAATCCGTATAAATTGTTTTATTCAATGTGTAGTGTTCGCGTAAATATAAGAAGTTGTGAAAGATGTTTAAGATATGAAACGACTGTTTTACTTTTTTAAGCGACTTCGTCCGCGTAAAAATTATTAGTGGTCTTGCGGTCTGACACGTTGTCCAATCATCGAAAAACCACTTTATATTCAAGTGTTTTTACTATTATATGAAAAACTATGAGCAATATGGGAAAACATTCAATATAAAAATTAAATATCTATTAATTTAACGTAAGAAATATACCTATACCTATAGTTAACCTATAGTTTTGAGGTAAAATGGTGTTGAAGTAAAAAAATGTAAAAATCGATTTTACATCAAAACTAACTAACTAGAAATTAATGATTAATTGAAAGTGTTAGGACCTTCGTGGGTAAAATTGCAAACAGCTTAATATAAGCCAGTTATTTCAATATTACAAATTCAGTTGTAACTATATGTACATACAGATTTAGAGAGGATAGATTTAGATTTAGATTACCAAGTCTATGGATTATACATATTTACCAATTCTCTTGATCGCTGCTATCAATTTATAAATAAGTTTTAATCAATTAGGTAGTAAATTTGCAAGATCGATGTAATCCCATGCAAAATTTCTTTCTTCGTAATTTTCACGTTATATATATATATATATATACATAACATATGGGGTAGAATTTTCATACGAATTATAAGAAGAATAATATATTTACGTTCAATAATTATTATTATTCTATTACTAGGCGACACTGCGTTCATTTTCTTATCTTTAATGCTAATGTAAAAATTAACACGTGGTATTAGTCACTTACCACTTTTACTGGCATCCTTCATGAGGTCTGAAATAAGTTCATCGCTGACCTGTATGCCGAGGTTGCGCAGCATGAATTGCAATTCATCGGCCGTCACGTGACCGTCACTGTCCCGGTCTAAAAGACCAAACGCTGTACGCAGATCTGCAAAGAAAAAAGATAATGTCGATATCAATGGCGTCACATGGGTCCTCTTCAAGAAAAAACCAGTACGTAATCAAGTTTTTTTTAAAAGTTCGCGTATAATCATAAAAACATATGATTTATTATGGTAATTTTTAATTACTAATATTTTGCTTATTTAATTTGTTTACTTTAAATTATATTTAGAAGAGATAAAAAGTTACAAAAAAATACTCAGAAAAACAGCTTTCGAGGATGATTTCTAAAAAGCGTGTTATTTGTAAAAATATTTTTTTCTTTAAAATATTACATCCCTACGAACGTTTTTTTTTCAACTTTTCTCCTCTATAATTGAGAAAAAAATAAAAGAAACCACAGAAAAATTCTCGTGGCTTCAGACGAGGTTTTTCCACAGTTGACCATATACACTCGCTAGAGATGATAATAGAAAAATTCCAAGAGTTTAACAGACCACTCTATGCTGTCTTTATTGATTATGAAAAAGCCTTCGATACTCTACTCCACTCATCGATTTGGGATGCTCTACTCTCTCAAGAAGTGGCATTAGACTACATACAAATGATGAAAACCATCTACGACAATAGTACTAGCAGAGTGAAGTTGGAGACAACTGGGCCAGTTATACAAATAAAAAAAGGTGTAAGGCAAGGAGACCCAGTCTCACCAACGATCTTTGTAGCGGTGCTAGAGTCCATCATTCGCAAACTAAACTGGGAGAAGGTGGGAATAAACATAAACGGATGTTACCTGAGTCATCTCAGATTTGCTGACGACATAGTTTTACTATCAGAAAGCACAAACCAACTCCAACTGATGATAAACTCTCTACATGGGGAAAGTCGTAAAGTAGGCTTGGAAATCAACTTAAATAAAACTAATGTCATGACAAATCATACTAAAATACCTATATATCTCAAAAATCTGCAATTTAACCTATATTGATTCATTCATATACCTGGGTAAACAAATCTCATTTAACCCACACAACAATGAACAGGAAATAGAGAGAAGAGTCAACATCACCTGAAAGAAATTTTGGAGTCTAAACGAAATTCTAAAAAGCGACTTGCCCATAAGGCTGAAAAGCAAAGTCACGAACAACTGCCTACCCCCCTCACCAAACCTCGAAATTTACTAGGAAAATAAAAAATAAGATCATAACAAGTCAAAGAAGTATGGAAAGAAGCATTCTGAAGATTAAGAAGATCAAAAAAAATCAGCCATACTGCCATAAGACAGAAAACTAAAGCCATCGACGCTCTCAGCTCCTCACAGAAATTAAAATGGCAATGGGCCGGACATATAGCCAGACTTACTGACAATCGCTGGACCATAAAGCCAACATCATGGTTAGGACCATCAGGCCAAAGAAAAAGGGGTAGACCAATCGCGCGATGGACAGACGACATTATAAAAATAGCAGGTACCCACTGGATGCGAGTAGCAGAGGACAGAAAACATTGGTCATCTCTGGAGGAGGCCTTTACCCTCCGTTAATGAGGGGTTCTTGCAATCGTACACATACACCAAAAAAAACTTATTCTACACTGTGTGCGAATTTTAGAAAAATTTAATATTTAAAATATTATCAGAATTTGTTGAAACTTTTAAAATACATTTTTATAATGGTCTACAACTACTAGAAGTAAGAAGTAATTTATTGCAATTAATTAATGAAAATGTAAGTCTATTATAAACCTTGTTCTATTACAAGCACATAAATATCAAAAGTAATACTTACTAAAATACTAAGTTTTGTAACACTGGGTCAAATAATTATTGCATGCACACTGTTTCAAACTGTAAATCTGTACTATAAAGCAAGAAATAAAAGGCTTTTTATTAAGAATATTTTAAGGCTGTAGTAGTACCTACTCTAAGGATAGACGCACGCATGTCACTATGCTATTAATAGCATGCTAGCAATCAGAATTTTATCTCCGCCGGACCTGCGGAAACCTGCGTTTATGAACTCCGGTTACACCCTATAAGCAACATGGCGGACTCTTCCCTGCTCAAACACCTCAGTAATTAGAGGAGGCCAGTGGAAAGCCAGAGGTTCATATACAATGGGCCACTTTCTGTACTAGTCTTTTTTAGAAACGGAGGGTCATAGACAAATCTTAAGAAACTCAAAGGAATTAAGGAGTATTACAAGCAGAAGTATCTCTACCTAACTTCAGTCAACTTTACCTAATCAAATATTTTGAAGAAAAAAGCAACGACTGACTTTGAAACAGTAATTTCAACAGTTTGTCACACCATATTAAACTTTACTAAACTACCTGTAACCACTTGTTTAAGTTTTGTGACCATAATATTACAACCGTTCAAAACAAACCTACATCTTCACAACAACCGATTTCAAACAAGTATAATATTTAAGCTCCTTTTACTACTAAGAGTCATTTCTTGAACAGTTTAAAGTAATTTGAAGTTACGGTAATCTTACCAAGAGTTTGGTGAATTTGCCAGGTTTGACGGTATTCAATAAATATTAGTATATTCCTTAAATATGTCCTGATTGTGCATAGACAGTGCATTGTTAATTAATTCAGAATCTTTTAAAATTTAAGGACGAAGTGAGTACAGGTTAGTTCAGCGTTTGCATATATGTATGTGCAAATTTCGTAGTACATTTTAGCTGACTGAGAAATATTTTTAAATTTATATATATTACTTTTTTAATTAGGTTCTATACTGTAAGCGAATGTTCTCTACTTAAGTACTAATTAATATTTAAATTTTAAAATTTTAAAGATGACCTATACATACACAACAAGAGAAATCACACACATATATACACAACATAAAAGAATTTTCATGTTCAATTTACAGTTAGTAATTTTCACGTTGTTGTTGACGTGTTGATGTGTTGTGGGAGAATCCATCTATCTATTTCGTCTCGTGGGTGTCTTTAGAGACGACAATGGAAAATACCAGAAAGATTATATGACTTTCGACAGATAGGCGTTATAGATATATTGTTTACGCCAAATGTAATATACACAAACCGAATATGTAGAGCAGTAACGAAGATGTGAGACGTTTCATTACACAATCCCACGGCCATGTGAGGTTGATGAAGGGCAAAACTGAATTCAGTACGTAATTAGTTATTGAATAATTATATTAATGTGAATAAAGTTACATTTTGTCTTGTTAATATTGATAATCGTGAAAACAAAATTGTTAATTATTTATACAAAAATTTTATTAAATTTAAAAATACTCTGCTTGCAATTTCAAATCCACATATTTTTAAAAACGCAAAGGCTTCTTCAAAATAATTTATAATTTATGAATGTACTTACAGAACTCATTATTTTTTTGTCTAGTCATATTAAATAGAACATTTGGCACTATATTTACGTTGTTGTTACTAAATTAATTATTATTCTGTAAAATTTGACTAACACGTTAGAATCTAAACATGCGAAGTAATATAGGTGGCCTATCATCTCACTTTATAATGACGACGGTATTGACAAAAGATTAAAGGAACGTTACACGCTTCATGCCTTTCTTATCTTACGGCTCTAAATTTTCAGATATTACCATGTAGACATGTTGTTGCTTGATGAGCGAGGTAGATAACAATTATCTACCTGGGTTGATTTATTCCGTATTAAATTCGACGCGCGGCAACATCTACGACTATGGTCATTCTCTCAATTGTTCAGATTTCTAACTCTGCGTACTACCTACTATGTACCTTATATGAATGACTTCGCTTCTTTATTTCTTAAATGTAACAGGATATACGAGGGTAAGTTAATAAGTGTGGTAAAGATCATAGAAAACAATATTTTTTACTAAAAATTCTCAGCATAATCTCCATTAAGCTCTAGACAAGGTCCAGTGAAATTTAAGTTTTTCATTCCCTCGGGAAAAAACTGTTATCAATCTGAGTATAATACTCATTTGCAGGAAAAATAATCACTTCATGCATTGTAAACTTCTTCCAAGGAAGCCAATTTGAGGTTATGAAACAGAAAAAAGTCTAGGCAAATCTGGGGAATAGACTTGATGGAGAAGTAACTTGAAGCCTAACTCGTAGACTTTTGCCATTGCAACGGCCATTGTTTGAACAGGTATATTGTCTTGGTACAAGGAAACTTTTTTACTCAAGTTCAAATTTCCCATTCAAACATTGCACAATTTGCCCGCCACTGTCTATACCCTTTTCCAAATAGTCAATCATGATGTCACTACAGTATAAATGGTATAAAAAATCCCAATATCGTATAACATGATGTTATCTTGCATGAAATTCTGTACCTAGATTAAAAAAGCTGAGTGCAAGATCGGTGTCGCTTTTGTTGACTCCAGACCAAAAACAATTCAGGAAGGTCATTTCAAAATCGTGTTTGGAGAAGTTGCAGCATTATCCGCATAATTTCTGGCATAGTTTCATGATTGTAGACGAAACATTAATCCATCATTATACTTCCAAGACAAAATAACAGTCAAAACAGTGTGTTGGTGTCGGAGAAAGAGCACCGTATAAAAGCGAAAATTGTTTTAATGACGGAAAACGTGATGGCCACTTGTTTTTGGGATCCACAAGAAATGTCTTGTGGGTGTCCTAAACGTGTAAACTTATTTATGTAGTAATAAATGTTCCGGTGCAAGACTTACATTCAAATCAAATCGTATTTAGAATTTTACTCTTATTTAGCTCGTTTTAGATAAAAAGAAAATAATTTAAAGTAATTTTTAGATTCCGTTTCCAAAAATTTCATTTAAGTAATTTAAAATCAAAATAGCATTATTTTTTAAATAAATTTGAAGTAAAAACGACATCCATAAATTTGCCAAATTGAAACTTGTTTTGCAAGCAAACAAATTTTAATTTTTCCTTTAAAAAGTTTGTTTTATGAGCAGGCGTTGGAAGCATTTGTTTTACAAAAATAGTGTCACAAAATAATGTGGCGGGTGGCGGTAACATTTTAGTTGAATTTCACTACTATTTCTTTTAAGTGAACTTTAGTTATTTC